AAGAAAAAAAGAGTGGGAAATGTCTCCCGTGGTCCAAAATACAGATGAAATGTCGTCCGTTTCATTTTGGCCTAAGAAGTGGTAAAGTTTGCAATACATAAGGAAAAAGAAAAAGTTAACCAGTTACCTTCCGCATTTAATTTATAAAGTATGTTGCGTTTATTATCATATGAATGTTAATTAACCGGCTGCAGACGGGGCATTACATTAAGCTTCCACCTTGTCATTGCCTAGCAAGCATCCAAGGGAAGGAGGATTCGAAGAGAAAGAGTTCTCGTGGCAATCAAGAGACAACCGTGTGGATCACCATTATAGGGTATCATTCTTTTTGACGCATTCAAGTCATCAAAGTTATTCTAAAATCCCAATATGTGTTTTAACGATTAGATCCTAAGCATAACTCATAAGTACCATAAGAAGTTACGGATTCCACAACGATTAACAAAGATTAAAATTTTTATTTTTCATCCCATGAGCGAGTTGCTTGAATGTCAAGTAACTCCAATAATTACTTTCAAAACAAACCCAAGCCCAATGCTTTCACCAAACAAAATAAAAAATCCTTAGCCCAATGTGACATGGATCGTTGAGATCTCGCACGTCGAATGTCTACGATTGTTTGTTTCCAAATGTGTGTATATTGAGACCCAATTTACTCATAGCTGCGGTCCAAATTGAAATGGACCAGGGTAAAGGAAGAAGGCTTATAGCGAGGGGCTATACGACGCTGCGTTTAGAAAATCGGAGAAGGCTAAACGGATTAGAGTAAATGATGCAATGTGCGAAACGCATACCTCCACATAAAAGCAATGAAACGAAAATGGGCCTTTTGATCTAGCGGACCAAAAAAATAGTGTGCCTTTGCAATAAAACGCATATTTTTCATATTATGCCAAATAATAATTTTTTGCATAATATTTTATGTCCAAAGTACCACGACCATGAAAATATTTTAAGTGCTCCGTACTGAATAAAAAAAAATAGCATGCTAATATGTTGGGAGTAGGATATTGTAATAACTAATTAGTGCTACTATCAATATTACTACCAATCAATTTCACCGTTAGATCTATTATGTTGATCTAACGGTTACATTTATTTTCATCTTTGTATGATTATGATTTCTTATATTTACTATTTAACATTAAATATGAAAAATCATAACCATACAAAGATATAAATAAATATAAAATATTAAATATGAGAAATCATAACCATATGAAGATGAAAATAAATATAACCGTTGGATTAACATAATCGATCTCACGATAAAATTAATTGATAATAACATTAGTAGTACCACTAATTAATTGTTACAATAACATTTCCTATTATATTATCATGTCAATGCTTGGAAAGAGAAAAGATAGTAGTAATCCACTAGGGCTAGCCTAGTGGTGTGGGTGTGTGTAATAGAGTGTGTGTGAGTGTGTGGTTGTGTGTTCTATTTCTTGTAACCTACAAAAAAGAGAAAAGATAGTAGTTGCTAGGTGTCCATTTTTGAATGAAAGTGACATTGTTACTACTTACTTCTCTAGATTTAAAAAATGCTCTCCACATTTATGTTACACTCTTGTGGGGTCCACTTTCCACCCACATCATCAACTTAGGAAATGTAGCATTTTATATATAAGGTGACTGTTTGGAAAAAAAGTTTAATTTCTCTTCATCCTTTTAAATAAATTTTTACAAAAGTTATTATAATAAAAAGAGTTTTGACTCAATTGAAACTGTCGAATCTCCTTCGGCCATTTTCTCAATCGAATTTTTTTTCAGTGTTACAGATGCACTGGAAATTCAATACATCTTCTACTTACAATGTGACATGTGTCTTATTTTTGTCAAATTATTAATAAATAATTTATTTTAAAATCGGATGAAAAAACAATTTAACAAAAAATAAGATAAATATCACATTGTGAGTGGAAGATGCACCTAAAACTCAATACGCACCCAACATATTATCTTCCCAAGTACTACAGCCTTATTTCTCCATCCACCTATGATAAAATCTCACCACTCAGCATAAAAAGGGACTAATCACCATTGCACTTCCTAGGCATATAGACTATTAGCGAAAGGCAGGTTCACTGAAATAGTTGATTTATCAGGCAGGTCTTCACAAGCATGTTGTGTGATTATCATGCTGCGTAGTGACTACGAATTACCTGCCTCAACCTAAAATTGCCTCAACTGAAAGAGATCCAGACAGTACATCATCAAGCAACCATAATATAGTCAACTAATGATATCATAAATGCCCTCATTGTTGCACGGTTGAATGCATTTCATTATAATTAGTACGATGCTACTAGTTTCATTTTTAGGCGTATTGGCAGTGTTAGAAGAAGTTGATCATTGCAGAAATCAAAGTCAGACCTGAAGTTAAAGTTTCAAAAAATTAAAATGCTAATGTGAAGGGAAGTGCTTAAATGCTAGTAACTTGCTCGGCACAGTAACCAAAGTGTTATTTTTTGCTAATTTTTTTACTCGAATGTCACGCGAATAGTATTTTTTATCAGATTGCCGCGTGTCATAATTCACTATCACTGATAGTGAATTTCATGGCCAATGATTTCGTGACACGTGACTATATTGCAGACCAAATTTGCTACTGCTGGTAGCGAATTATGATATATCAGCTTTTTCCTGCGAAAGTATGTCATGTGTCATAAAATTATTGGCGAATGTAATTCGCTACCAGTCATAGTGAATTACGCCCATGTGGCAGTCTGGTAAAAAGTATTGTTCGCGTGGCATTTGGATAAATTTTTTGCCAAAATATGACATTTTGGTCACTGTTCCAACTTGCTCTCTAGTCTCCCCTGAGTTCTCACTTTCTCTGTTTCGTCCTCATTATTGACCTATGTTACACCAATATTGATACGGGATATGGGATAGGATAAGACGACACACCACCACATTAATTCTAAAAAATATTAGATTTTGACATGTTAGAACACATTTTGATATTAAATAATATTTTTAATTTATGTAGCGTTTATTATATTTAATATTTAATAATTTAACCAATAAATAAATAAATAATCAAACTTCTGATACCTACCAATTTTGCAAAGAAATATAAGATATCCCAAATATTTATATTAAACTCAATAAAGTGATAATCGTAATCCAACGAATCTAGTAGTTGAAACTAGAAACGCAAAGCAACGCAATCTTTAAATCCTTTTTGAATCTTTATAACTAGTGTAGGAGTGTTGGACACGAAAATATCGTCGATACTACGGGAGTACTGAAGACTCAATGTATCATTTACTCAATTTGAAAAAAATGATATATATTTTTTACCATTTCACGCTTCTTGTATGGTTATTTTTTCCTAAATCATCATCTTTTTCTAGTTTTAGTAAAGGAGTCATACTCTATTAGCACCAAAGATATGCTGGTCGGACACAACACATGGTCATTGACCCTGTTCCAAATAATGTCTTCGAATTAATCTCAAATTCCTAATTGTGTGCCCGTGAAAGTGAATCACTCATTTCTCGGCTTTTTGACCCTTATAACCTTTTATTAATAATTAATTACCAAATTGACCTTCATTCTAAACTATTTCAAAAATTTAACCCCCTCCAAAAACATAACACCAATCTGCCCATGTTTGACCGTTGACCACCAAGTCTACCCGGGTACACCCCTCCCTACCCGGGTATTTTTTGAAATTTTTTGCCTACCCGAGAAGAGAGGGGTGTACCCGGGTATTTTTCTTGGCACCTGAGAAATTGTTTGAATTATTTACCCGGGTAGGGAAGGGTGTACCCGCGTAAATAATTGAAATATGGACTGGACTGTTGTTCTTCTTCGTTTAGGAATTTTGAATGACTTTCTATCCTAATAATGTTTACTATTTCAGTCATTCTAAATGCTGAACTTGTTGAGTTGAGGTTCAACAATGGTTTTTATTCTTTAGCTCTCACGCCCCTCACATGAAAACCCTAATGGCTTGAAGGGTGGATAAAATAGAAGCTGTGAATAACTTGTGCTGAAACCTTAAATAGTGAAATTCAGTCTTAATGATTAGAATAGAGGAACCAAGCATTGAACCCTTTATCACAAAGTGATCAAGGCTTTGTTACCTTGTCAAGGAACCAGTCATCCTAATTGTTTAAGTATTTAGGTGGAGATCCACAAGTGGTTTTATCTCATACACTCATAAAAACATATCCCCTCTACCTTGCAAAGAAAAGGAAAAGATGCATAATAGGCTCGTGGTTTTACTTCAAATAGACATCAAAAAGTCTTCCTGTCCTAGACAAAACATTAAAAGTTGGCGAACTTTTGAAATAAGTTTCTCTTTGGCTTATTAAATGTCAATAATACCTTCAATGAACATAGACAGAAAGATCCATTATTTTTCTCATAGTTGATTTGTATATCAAAGTTTCATTCTTATGCTAGAGAAATGATATATTGGTAATGTTCATTCAGATCAACAATCCTTGGTGTTTTACTAAAGACGAGTTTCCTATGTGGGTATAAGTCATCAAGAATTCATACTCCTATATGGGATTCCTTAATTCTGTATACTAAGCTTACTGGAGATGTCTACTCCTATAAGAACAACAGTCTGGTATTTCAATTATTTACCCAGGTACACCCCTCCCTACCCGGGTAAATAATTCAAACAATTTCTCAGGTGCCAAGAAAAATACCCGGGTACACCCCTCCCTACCCGGGTAGGCAAAAAATTTCAAAAAATACCCGGGTAAATTTGGTGGTCAACGGTCAAGCAGGGGCAGATTGGTGTTATATTTTTGGAAGGGGTTAGATTTTTGAAATAATTTGAATGAAGGTCAATTTAGTAATTAATTATTAATAAAAAGTTATAAGGGTCAAACAGCCCTCCTTTCTCCTCTCTCTCAATGAGAAAATCTTAGTAAGAACCCAAACTCATTATTTTATGGCATAATCTATATCATAAAATAATTAACAAATTGGTCAAATTAAAACATGTGCGATCGCGGATCACCAAACGGCTAAAGTATATGATACAATTTGGAAGGCTTCAAATGACGAGTGACATTGAAATACTTGAGAGTTCGAATCCACTTTTCTTGATTCTTCAACAAGTGAACCGCGATAGTGTCTGGCCAGAGTTCATGAGTACACGTGGTTGGTGGCTCCGGAAAATTGTACATAGACCACTTAGCATTGAACCTATTATTTCCACGACGACCCTCACGCAACCACTCTCCAAAAACCTTATCCTCAGGACCTTGGAAGCGTTTCCTCGGAATATCCGAACCTCGTATCCACTCCACAATGTCCCAAGACACCAAATAACCCATCCCAGACATGTATTTCACAAAAGGGTCCATGCTTTTACAGGGTATCACGTATCCATAGTACAAATCTTCCCTCGGCAATGGTTTCAACGACTCCACCAAACTGTTCAACCTCAAATATGTATCATCGTCTGCTTTCATGACGTAATGGTAAGGAGGGTAAGGCCCAACGGTGTCGTTTAAAAGCTCTGGAAGGGTTGAGAAGTAGTTCAAGGTTTTCCCGTTGTTCATGTTCTCTTTGCAGTCCAGGATCATGATGTCGTCGTGGTGCATGATCTCAAGGGCTACTAGGACCTTCTGATCCTCTTTCGTGAGGTTGCAGAACACGAACTTCACGTCAACTTTGGCCCCCGGCGGAGGCGGTTGTGTGCTGTAGACTAGGCGGAGGAAGTGCCGCCGGAGGTATTGGTCGGGGAGTGTGAGGATGCCTATGAGAATTCGGAGGTTGTCCGAGGAAGAGTTGTTTGTTTGAGCCCTTGTGGTGGCGGTGGCGGTGACGGTGGAGTCGGTTGCCGGAGGGAATCGAAGTTGAGGTTGGTTAGTGAATGCTAATATGCCGAGGAAGATGAGAATGGTGCAACAAGAGAGTGTGAAGCGTCCTTGGTCTATCTTGGAGGGTTTCATTGTTGTGTTGAGTCTATGAAGCTGGAGTCGAGGCTTGCCAATTTGAGTTTTGATGATCCTAATAGGATGCATGAGTTACCAAAGCTTATTAGGTGCAATGCGTTATGGTTTATTAGGATAAGTTGGAAATTGTATTGTTTATTAATCATACTTGAATTGATTAAACGTTGGGAGCATGTGGTAATTTGTGGAAATGGCACTTCTTTTCCCTGATATTATGCATAGTATTGAGCAACTTTATTAATTTGCTAATTAGGTAAGTAACCACTGTCGAGAGAAGGAAACATATGAGATGGTGGAGTTAAGCCTAAATGTTGGGTGGATGAGTCATATGTTGTTGAGTTTTGGTTTGGGTTTAGACAAAGTGGTTTTGGTGAAGTTTCGTAGTTAGTTAGGCATATTTTCATGAACAGGGGAGGTTTCAAAATCATTCACGCCATACTTGACTAAGGAAGAAACTTGCTTGGCCAAGAAATTATTCTTTAGGGTATTACGTTAAAAATAATTACACTTTATGTTTGATGCTAGAAGACATTGATGATAATGATTACTACTGCCGTAAAAAGCTTTTACTCTGGTTTATCTCGTGCCAACCTACCATGACATTCAAGAAAGGCCACTCTTTCTGCCTTAATAAACGAAAATCATTCATATGGTCATTCAAGAAAGGCCACAAGAGTTGTGTGACTGATGATACCATATAGGAGATGCTTCCTGGAATCAAAACTCTTAAATCCTTAAACGCTTTTTTTTTTTTTTTTTTTCTGCTTGTAAAATAGCTAAGAAAGCCAGTTTGAGGTGTGAAGTGATTAATTCTGCTTGTGATATTATGTGGCCAGTTTGAGGATTTAATTCTGCTCCAACTCATTACAAAAACAGATTACTAGCCCATATCCCCTCTATTAGCTATAGAGTATTCTGTTTGTTTAAGTGGTATCACATGTAGTATTCTTATTAGAATATATTAGTATGATATGAAACAAAATGATCAAACGTGGATCGCGGCATATCGCGGCCAACCCGAAAAAGGCTCTAGTGCAATATCGGGTTGCGGTTGCGAAAATAGCGGAATAGATATATGACAGAAATAATGACAAAAAGAAATATTTTTTAAAGGCAGAGATAAATAACAGAAGTGACAAAGAAAGACACATATAGACCAAAAAACTCTTAAAAATTTTCTGTTACACGGATAGACTAAAAAACCGCTATTGCGTTCCGGTGTGGCACAATGCGATTTCTTGCGGTAAAGCACCGCAACGCCCATACGACGTGGCTCGCGGCGTTATTGCAGTGCAATTAACTATTATGATATGAAAATGTTTAAAACTTGAGAGTCGATGAATCAGAATTTTATTCATTAGAAAGCAGAAAAAGAAAAACCTGCCAATATACAGAACTGATCGCAATTTACAAGAAAAAACCAAAAAGAAGAACAATCAAACTATCTCAGGACACTGCTACAAAGATCTCTGTTAGTTAAAATAAGAATAAAGCAGGTCGAAGAAAATGAATTGAACTTGAATATATTTACTTTTCCTTTTTCTCTAGAGACATAAAGCATAATTTCGCCATCATTTGTCTGTTTTGTAACAAATATTCGAAACTCGCTTTCTCATTTGTAAATAACAGATTTACTATCTTGGCTGTAACAATGAAATGGAAACTTCATTTGTTGAAGACAGTTCATGTTTACTTGAGGAAGAGACAACTTCATGTGGATAAAACCCGGGTTGTCTTGGATTAGGTAATGCTCTCTCACCATTCAACATTAGAACAACAGATGACATGTCTGGCCTATCATCTTGTCTCTCTTGCACACACAGCAACCCTATCTGGATACATCTTAATGCCTCAACCTCAATAACTGAATCACTAAGGGTATCTGCTATCAGCCCCAATGGTCTGTCCTCACTCCACAATCTCCATGCCTGAAAAAATTGAAATGTGAATTCTGAGTATAACTGAAATTCATAAAGAACCAACTTATGGTTGGAAATTAGAGCATAGGTATGATATTAAAAACAGAATTTCAGAATTGTGATTGCATGTTGCACTTTAGGCTTACATATCCAAGAAGGTTAAGATTATGTTGTGTGTCAAAAAATTCTCTGTTCTTCCTCCCACTAATCATCTCCAGAACAATAACACCGAAGCTAAATACATCAGTCTTCACCGAAAAAGATCCATACACTGCATACTCAGGGGGCATATAGCCACTGCAAAATTACAAATGAGAAAATAAACTTAGGAAAAAAATTATCATAAGTCAAAAAATAATTAAACCAAGTTTTAGATATCTTACTGAGTTCCCACTACTCTTATTGTATTGGCCTCAGCATGATCACCACCAAAAGCTCTAGCCAATCCAAAGTCTGATATTTTTGGGTTCATATCATTATCTAGAAGAATATTACTGGTTTTTAGATCTCTGTGGATGATCCTTAGTCTAGAATCTTGATGAAGATACACAAGCCCTCGAGCAATCCCACTTATGATATGTAAACGTTTATTCCAATCCAATTCTTTGCTTCTTATGTGATCTAACAAATTCAACTCATGTTAGCATGGAGAAGACTTGATATTAAAGGTAAGAACAAATTATGGATTTAGAAAGGACAAAAGCTCATACCAAAAATGAATTTGTCCAAACTTCTATTAGGCATGTATTCATAGATTAGGATTCTTTCATCACTCTGAATGCAACAACCGAGAAGCTTCACAAGATTTCTATGCTGAAGATTGGCAATCAACAAAACTTCATTTTTGAATTCTTGTGGTCCTTGTCCAGATTTCAAGGAAAGCCGCTTGACAGCAATCTCTCTCCCATTTAGTTCACCCTGTTGACAATTACCTAGAAATATTAAAATTTTGGAGATAATGGATCCATCAATAGGAATAAGATATAATCATGTCACCTTGTAAACTGGTCCATATCCACCTTCTCCCAATATGTTACTGGGGGAGAACTGATCAGTAGCATTAGAAATGGTTGAAAAATCAAACGTTGGCAAGTCAATGTTTTCCTTCTCATATTTCTCAATATCATCCTCCTTGTTTATTACTGTGTCCTTACCTGAAATAGTAGATCTTTTATGATTGATGGTATATTTTAAAAGATATATTACATACAAGTAACAGAATACTTGTTAGGGAGTTCAAAATAAACACTAAAAAAAGAAAGGACTCGCAGCTTAATGTCATATAATTGTTAATTGAATCATGATAAAGAAAGAAAATAACTAAAACAAAATATCTCAAAATTCACCTGACTTCCTAAGTTTCTTCCTCTTCAGATACAAGACATATCCAGCTATTGTGATGCCCAAGATGAGTGTCCCAACTCCTCCCAGAATCCCTGCTAGCTTTTTCTTGTTTGAGTTATTCTTTGAATTATCTGAAATATTAAGAGAACAATAAGTCACACACAAGCAACTTCAAGTAGTTTATGAGCAGAGAGGTAAAAAAACTGGTAACAATGACCATCAAATTTCTTATCATTCTTTCATGTTTTGTTTTCTACCTTCAATATGGATGATATTTCTAATATGCATTCTTATGACTGTCAACAAGTTTCCATCATTATTTGCAGCTTCTGAGGGTAGAATAGAATATCACCTAAAGCTGAAATCTTTATATTTCTGGTTCTGTGACTACTAAAAGAAATAAATAGAAAGGGAGCAAAGATAGGAGGTAAGTAGTACCTAATTCTGAAGCAGCCACTCTTATGTGAATCTCTTGCCCTTCAGAGTTTTCTTTCCTCATGTCCATGATGTTATTAAACCAAATCATGCAACCACTTCCACCATCTCTAATATCTAAATTTGAATAGGCTATACAACTGCAGTTTTTTAAGCATTGTATCTCACATTCTTGAAGAGTCATGTTCTTATCTAACCAGGAGGAAGATGTGTCTGGCAACTTCATTCCTGTATACTTAAGAAATCCATCTCTATTATCACAATCCAAATTTACCTTCCGAACACACCCATCAGTCCTATCTAATGAATTCCATTTTTCTGGAGATTTGGGTGTGTAACCTGTGAGGCATTCACATTGTGGAGAGTTATTAACATTGCATTCAGAGTTTGCACCACAAAAGGCATAATTATCACACTGATCCACAGGGCCAGATAGGAAAAGTTGCCAGGTTTCTGTCTGATATGACCACAGGAAACGTTGCACAGCACCTGTTGGTGTGATCATGTATCTTGAAACGATTGAACTATTTAAGGGTTCATAGTGAAAATGAACTTCCTGCTCAGTTAACACAAAAGAGAAAGTAAAGTAACTATAAAGTGTTTCCCAAGGAATCCCACTGAAGAAAAACCCATTCCAAGAGCCTAGTCTGTATAATAATGTTGATCCTTTCGAAATAACTAGCTGAGGAAAACCATGACCAACTAAGTGGTATGAAAAATCACCTCTTGATGGATCTCCTGTGTTTTTCCAAGATGTCAGAGAATTATACACACCACTAACTCTATTAAGATGAAGTATCATCCCTGGGAGTAAAGTGTCACCAGGATAATCAAAACTTTGCCACACAATGTTCCCAGTGCTACTTCCATTTTGTACAACAAGGTTTCCTGTGTCTAAGAGCAATAGAACTGGCATCTGTACAGTGATTGAAGCATTGGAGGACCAGACTATGGTCCCAGAACCATAAAGTATAATTGGATTTCCTCCATCAGTGACTTTGAAAATTGCTGTTGGGTTATTATCAAGTGGGGTATCTCTGTTGGCTACCCATACAATTGTCCTAGGTGTTAAGTTCTTGTACCATATACAAAAGTATAGGCTTTGTGAATTCCTCAAGCTGAAGAATCCAGCTTCAAAAGTTCCAGCTGCAGAAACCAGGGTCTCATTGTAATGGATGGATATGTCTGGAGTGATACTCCTCAGGGAAATGATCATGGGAATGAAGGAGAATAGGAGAGAGAACAGAACAAATCCCTCATAGCTTGCCATTACAAATTAAGATATGGGGTTTGTTTGCGTTAAGATCCTTAAAACTTTTGATTGTAACAATTAAACAGAATAATTTATTTAAATAATATCAAATTAATTGTAATATATATCCAAAAGTTGACTTTTAACTCAAATATTGATATTTGGTATAACATTATAGTCTAAAAAAAAGGCCGTATTTGTTGAATTTCAGGTTATAGTTAAATGCAAAGTTTGAAGCGTGTTCAATTATGTAGATAAAGAGAAGTTATAAAGTCTTCGTCAACGTTGACGACTAGTGGCAGCATCGCTCCATAACCTCTAGAAGGCAATTTTTATGAATCATTCAACCTGCTCCCTTTTTTTAAATATTCACAAAGTTAGTGGGTTGATATAATTTTATTCTTAGGTCCTTAATTTATGTCTTTTAGTTGTTAATTACGTACTGAGTTAGTGATCAACTCCCTTTTTTAAATTATAAGTTGGGTTAGTTTATGCATGTTTGGATCATTTTTTAAAGCTATAAGTTATTTATAAGAATAAGTTTGGTCAAACAAGTTTTGAGAAAAAAAATTATAATAAAAAAAAATTATAATGAAGAAAAAAATTAAAAATTAAATACTTCTAGGAGGAGATTCTTTTTAAGCTATTATCAACTTTTCTTGAATTATGTTTTTTTTTTAAGTGAAGAACTATAAAGATAAAGAGAGTTTTCTTAAAATACATGTTTTTAAGTATCTTTTAAATTAATTTTTTTTTGTAATCATCAAACAACTTTTATTTTCTTTTTTTATCTTTAGTTTATAAGCAGTTTTTAGCTAAAAAAAATCCAAAAGAGGCTCTCAATCATATTCAATAATGGAATCAAAATTTGTTAAATCTGTCGATTGGTAAGCCTAAATTGTTGAGTGTAATTTAGATGTTATGAGTTTATGAAAACTGTTATTTTTCCTAAGATGATATGTGGTTCCTAATAGGATATATAAATGCGTACGTTCATTTAGTGAAATAATGATTGATATTACTTTCTTATTTTTTATTTTTGAATATTATTGATAACTCTCTTGTGGAGAGTTATTTTTAGGCTTATTTGTGATATTTTGGTGCCATAAAAATATATAATTCTCTTGGTTTTATAAGATTAATGCATGAATTCTATATTTTCATGATTTGAATGAGAAATATGTTAATTGTGGATATTTGAAGATAATTTGAGTGTTAGAACCATTTATTGCATTTGCTATTTTATTGCAGGTCAGTGTTGTAGCATCAGAAAGCAGTGTTGTAGTATTGAAGATGAGGTCAGCAGCGTGTTTGGTTGACATTATCACCAGCAAGCTATGGACTCAAGCCCAACTTAATGCAGGGAAGCTTCTGAGCTCGCAAACAGATAATTTGGTCTGAATAATCACTCATAGATCTTCAAGAAATCCTAATCAAATCTTCAACAAATCAGAGTCCACAAATCCAAATCAAATCTGAAGTATATTTGGAAAGATTTGGAGAAGATATGCAGCATCATCATGCTCTGTCCCTCAATCATATTTGCAGCAAATAAGGAAAGAATCTTCAAGCAAATCAAGCAAGTTGCAGCTGCAACAAAAAAAAGTTTTATCTTCAATTATATCTGCAGCAAATAAGGAAAGAATCTTCAAGCAAATTAAGCAAGTTGTAGCTGCAGCAAAACATAGCTATATCTTCAATCATAGCTGCAGCGAAACAGAGCAGATTTGAACATGATTTGTAATGGGTTCGAAGAGCTAATTGGAGCCCAATTCATCAGAGTCTATAAAAAGAGGAACCTAAACACATCAAACAGGTTGAAGAGTCTCTCTTTGAGGCCGGACAGCCTCTCTTAGAGAGAGAAAATGGGGGAAACACTTAGAGGAAATTTGAGGGTTTGTTGAGAGAGATCCAACGAATCCAAGGAAGGAGCTATGGTTCAATAGACAGATCATTGAACCCAGTGACTTTCTGCACTATTCCGGAGGCTGAGGCAAGGTTGATGGTGGTGGAGCTCACGGTTGCTGCGAGAGCAGTGCTACAGCAACGTCCCTATTTTTCTTATCTTAGACCTATGGAATCTTATTCTTTCTTTGTTGTTTCTTTCCACCCAGGTATGAGCTGATTTGTTAGGATTGGGTGATAGACTACCTTTATTGTGATGTAATCAGTTTGCCTAAACTTTGGTGCATGATTCTCCTTTCAGTTGTTTAATAAAGTGTTAGATTGTTTCTAATCTTGTTAATTCATCGAGAGAGAGTTGCAAGGTACTTAGGATTTGGGCTATAGAGATATAGAGGAATCTTGAAAGTTATTAAACGTTGTGGTTTAACTAAGTAAAATTGGTTAATCGTGGGTAGAGAGATCATTCACATCACAAAATCATATGGAACTTAAACTTAATGGATTTATGACTTTGTTGGCCATAGAGATATAGGAACTAGTATACATGTATTGTTGGTAAGAGCCTTTGCATGCATTAGTATTCTGATTACTGATTAGATAATTGCTATAGCATTGTTACTGCATTTTTGTAAAATTGCAATATTGGGAAAATTGATCCCAATCTATTTTGTTACTTGACTTCTTTGTTCTTGAATGCACTCTTGGTTTATTTTTATCTTGCTTTTAGTTATTAGTCAGTAGTTTACTTTAGTCCTTAGTTCTTAATTTACAAAACTTTCATAATATTGTTATTTTATTGTTTCACATTGATCCTAATTTTATAGTTTTCTTCGTGAGAACGATATCTGGACTCACACATCCACTTTATTACTTTATTACTCGTTAATATGTGATTGATAAAAGGGGTACACAATTACACAACAATTATCTATCAATTTATGTATTTCTCAATTATTGTAATTCAATTAATAGTTGGAATTACATTCTACTATCATTTATAACTTAGTGGTATATATATTTACCCAAGTCACGACAAATTATTAATTAACGTGTTTATTATTTGGGTCATGTTTGATTTTGTTCCATCAGTGGCGGAGCTAGAATTTCTTTCTAGTGGGGTGAAAATTCCAATACAGAAAAAGATATGCTGAAGTAAATTAGGTTACTCATTGACCCCATTCCAATTAATTAATTACTAACTTAATGTAACAATACTAATATTATATTTGTATCGTGTTTGTGTGTGTATTTTAAATGTATTATATCTCTAACACATTCTAATTAACCTTGTACATGTATCATCATCCAATTATTTTAATAACCCACTTGGTTGGATATTTAAGTATATAACAAAAATGTTGGGAACTCGGTTCCCTCAACTCAGCTAAGAAGCCTTTGCAGAACTGAAACGTCGAGTTAGATCTCGGCTCTTCAATCGGAGGTCGACTTGAATCACCAAGTTGCCCAGCGCAACGAAAAAAAGAAAAACATAGAGGAGAGAGAGAGAGAGAGGGAGAGAGAGAGAGAGAGGGAGAGAGAGAGAGAGAGGAGAAAACAACAAATTTTAACGTGGGAAAATCTTCTCCAATGCGAAGAAGTAAAAAAAAAAACCACAGGACACTAGTCCAAAATTAAACTTCCGCTATGAAAATAATGGGTTACAAAAGATCAAGCATCACCAACAATGGTGGCACACTCAAACCTCACCTACAATAGTGGTTTTCTCTCAAACTTTTCTAAGGAGGTATGACATTCAAGGTTCTCCCTAGAGGTGCTCTCAAAATCAAAGCTTTGCGCTTTTCACTCAAATCTCATAAGTCAATATTTTTCTTTTCTTTCTCTCTAACCTTCCTCCATCCCACAACTATTATATTTGTAGGGGAAGAAAGAGGTTTAGGGTTTTTTAAATCCTCATGGGTTTTGCCCTTAGCATTAAGGAGGAAGCCCAACTAATCTACCCCTTCCGACTTTAATGCGTCGGCTTCAGCAGTAACCAGGCACCTTCGCTACAATCTTCAAATTTCCTTGCTGGTATAAACTTCGTCATCATGTCAGACCAATTCAAGTCGGTGTGCATTATGACGAGTTCGAGCTCTCCATCTTCCACCACATCTCGATTCCAATGATACCTCACATCAATGTGCTTAGTGCGGGAATGATAGGTCGAATTCTTCGCAAGATGAATTGCACTTTGATTGTCACATCCCAGCTCGTACTTGACTTGATCATGGCTGAGTTCAGAGATAAACCTCTTCATCCACAACATTTCTTTGCTTGCCTCAGTCGCGGCTATGTACTCAGCATCGGTCGTCGAAAGTGCCACACACTTCTGTAGTCTTGATTTCCAAAAGATAGCTCCTCCTGCAAAAGTCATAATATATCCCCTATTCGACTTCCTCGAGTTAGAATCTCCTCCTAAATCAGCATTCGAGTAGCCTTGCAACTCGGCTTTACCTTCTCCAAATCGGAGGCACAACTTTGTTCTTCTTCTGAGATACATGAAAATCCACGTCACTACTTTCTAGTGTTCTTTGCCGGGTTTGACAGATATCGGCTTACCATTTCAGCAAGATACGCCAAGTCAGGTCTCATACAAACCATTGCATACATCAAGCTTCCGACAGCGAATTAGTACGCGATCTTCAACATCTCGTCTTTGTCTTCATCAAATCTCAGACATTGCTTCTAGTTCAGCTTTATATGTCTGGCTAGGGGGTGCTCATTGTTTTGACTTTGTCCATGCTGAATCTTTTCAGAATCTTCTCAATGTATTTTTTTGACTCAGCCACAGTAACTTCTTTTGTCTATCTTGGATAATCTTGATTCTGAGTATCTGCTTTGTAAGACCGAGGTCTTTCATTACGAAGGACGAGCTCAACGCCTTCTTCAAGGCGGCTATTCTCGACTTGTCTTTCCCTACAATAAGCATGTCGTCAACATATAAAAGCAAAATCAAAAAATCTCCGGCCTCATATCTCTTCACAAATACACAGTGGTCAGCCTTTATTTACACAAACTTGTGATTAGTCATGAAATATTCAAACTTCTTGTACCACTACAAGGTGCTTGCTTTAAGCTATATAGACTCTTCTTCAATCTACATACTAAGTCTT